GGGGTATATAGGGTTAAGGGTTTGGGGTGATAATGCGGCTACAGTTACCCTCAGGAGGTTTTCATGGGTCATAGGGTGGTTGGAGAGTTTACCCCCCAATATACTATAGTAGTTTGAATTTTTCTATTCTATTCTACCCAATATACTAGGGGACGTTGTTATAGGGTGGGGGCTACGTTTTTGTCCAACAAATTCCTGTTGTCTGCCTGCAGGCCCGAGATTTTCGGGTTACATAGGGATAATGGAAAAGAAAATGGAAAGTGCTATTTAGGGTTTAGGGCTTTAAGACCTTAAACCCTAAACTCTTAAACCCCACACCCTAAACCCTAAACCCTATGCCCTAAGAGTTTAGGGCTTTTGGGGAGAATGAAACATGCAGGTAGGCTGGAAGTTCCGCACGCAGGAACGTAGGAATCTTGGAGTTGCAAAGCTTCCCTGCTTTCTTTAATTCAAATTCCACCCAAGCCTAGGGTTCCCAGGAATTTCTGCACGTCAACCAGCGAGGCATGCATGCAATCCACCACCCCTAACACTTCACTGGAAACTGACCTTCGTGAGCCCCCGGCCGGTTTGCAGTACGAGCTCTTTGGTTTTTGTGGGATCCTGTAGGACACGCCGCCTAACAAGGACTAAATCTATTTCGAGCACTTTAAAGACCACTTACCCCAAATGCACAGCTTCGCAGGTACGCGCAATCTCAATCCCAAAGCGTCCGTGCAGTCTTCTCTGGCCCCGACGTGGTAATGCGTTCAGTAATTAGGCAGTCAGTATAACCACCACAAAGCTTGAACCAGCACTTAGGCTTTCAAAAGTATAGGGCTTTCTCCACCACTAATGGCCTCACTTACCTACCCTCCCAAACTAGGATCTTGACGGAAAGAAGCCTCAAAAAAGCCCCGAACCCTGCAACTAAACGCCCTAGACCAAACAGACTTCCGAAACCCCAGAAACTAAACTTAGTGGTGGTCAAGGGTATATGCTCCCCATATAACTCCCATATGATTTATTCGCTTGCTCAGTACCAACCCAGTATGTAAACTCTGAACCCTGAAACCTCAAACCCGAACAGACCCCAAGCACTTTTCTCTTCTCGACTTCTTTTTGGGCCCAAGTACCCAGAAAGCATTAGGTCGTGGGGTCCCTGGGTTAAGGTTCAGGCTTTGCAGTTCAGAGTTTAGGCTGTTTGGTTCGCAAGTAAAGTCATTGGGGCTTGCCATATCGCAGGGGACATAGGCTCGATGTACTCGCATCTCATTCTTGGATACCATCCCGTATTTGATTTCCTTTTGTTTCCGGGGAATATCAAAATCCTGACGCTGCAAGCACTCTATGGAGCCCAGGGACCCACAAATGGTACGTACATAGACCCTATTTAAGAGTAGTGAGAGGCTCTTGGTAACCCCTGACTTTCCAACCATCAGAGCCAAGGGTCTGCGTACAGAGAGCGGCACGTCTGAGTTGCCAACCAACACAACAGAGAGGTTAAGGGCTTGCTCAGAAGTTTACCAGAAAACTCCAGGGGCCTGCTGTACGGTGTACTTGGAGGGTCAGGGGGACTTAGAAGTAGGTTTATCATTCGGATGACTAGGGATACTATACGGGCTATAGGGGTTTTGAACCTACTTACTAAGTCCCCTAACCCTCCAAGTAAGGTTTAAGGCTTTTGGTTTGGTGCTACATGTTATCCAGCTTTTAGGGTTTAGGGTTTAGGGTTTAGGGGTTTAGGGGTTTAGGGGTTTAGGGTTTTAAGACCTGAAGGTGTGGCCTGGAAGGATCTCGTGTTCCATTTTCGGGCATGAGAGCAAGGAAAACACGTGGGAGACTTACATGTACCTTGGGTCAATCCCCCTACCCAGTACTGGGTACCACAGGGGGCTACTGCTAGTATAGTAAAACCCTATTGACTCCATGTTTAGGACCTATTCCTGTATGGGGGACTGACCTAACATGTACCTTCTTCATTCATTCTGAAGCCACAAGTTCAGCAAATGCCAGTACCACCTTCTGGAGCTCGATAAGTAAGGCAGCTAAGGGTCATCCAGCCACCCCACTCTGCACTACTCCCCGAACTGTGTCTGTTTCGGGTTAAATAAGGCTAACAGGTGCACCCATGGGGACAGTAAGGGGGACGGTAATAGTGAATCCATCTCCGGGGGCTCGAAGAAGACGGGTGAACAGTTGCCAGACATGGGACAAGTTCATCCCCAAAGCCTCAATCAACTAAGCTAACTACCACATTATGGGTACACATCTATACATCTATATATATATATATCTATATATGAGCTATAGTCTAAACTCCTAGTATCCCCCTTAATAACCCCTATAGTAGACCCCTATATAACCCCCTTTAAGGAGTTTAGATTATAGCTCATATGCATATATCATAAAGAAGAGGTTTCCTTGTTCGAGTAACTCAGCTTCAGGTCCCTAACAGCAAGCCGGCCAGCAGATGAATCTTCTTGACGCCTCAGCCCTACACCCTTTCAAAACCCGGCACCTAGAACTCCAACCTGCGCCCAGAATCAGGCACTCCGGTGTAGGGCTCAGGGATCAGGGTTTGAGACAGCTTCAGTTGAAGCTTACACATACACATCTTAGGGTTTAGCTCTCAGGCTTTCTCAATGACTGTTTTCTTGTTCTCGGCTTCAAGTTTGCCTTCTCGTTACAAAAGTACACGCCCCTGGGATGAACCTCACAGGACATCCTGCCAATTGTACCTGCCCTGGGACACACTTGAGATTAGCTGCTTGTTTGGAAACACGAAGCATTTTACGTAAGTTATCATTTTGCGCTGATGTATTCCACATCCTACTCTGCATGAACCCCGAAACCAGAGCCCACAATAACCCTGAACCCCAAGACCCAAAACCCAAAACCCTAAATCCCAAACCCTAAACCCTTGGACCCCTAGGGCTCGCCAGCCAAGCGTCGGCCAAGCTCACCAACCCTCCGCTGGCGCTGGGGCCGTGGCAGCCCACTGTGAAAGGAGCCTGTTTGTTTAGGGATTCAGGGCTTAGGGATTTTGGGTTTGGGGATCTAGGAATTAGGGTTTGGTTTAGGGTTTAGAGTTTAGGCTTTAGGTAGGGTAGGGGGAACTTCGCGTACTTTTAACTCCTGTACGTCATAAAGCAAACCTTTTGACAAGGCTTTGCAAGCTGCAGTGCTACCGAGAAAGTCCATTATCCCTTAATTTTATTAAGGAATATGCCTTAAATCATGCACGGATTCTAACATCATGTACGACATATCTTCCCTATTCAAAGGATATTGAACTTTGTGGGTTGGTGGCCTCTGAACCTGGGGCTCTCTGTCTATAGATAATGCCTACATTGGCCCCAAAGCCTCTAAAGACAAAGGTTGGTTTGTCGAATGATTTCAGTCGTTTTATCACGACGTGCCTGCAATTTGCCCAGAGAGCCTCGGAGCAGCAGAATCTATGTGGTGGTTTCCCAGAAGAGGGGGACCCCAATATATACCCTCTCAATACGATCATGCCTAACCCTCAACCTTAAACCTCACACTAAATCCTAAACTAGACCCTAAGCCTTAAAACCTAAACCCTAATCCCTATTGCTGGGACCCCCAAAATGCCCCTTGTTTCAGTTTTAAGAACACACCCCCGCCCCCCACTGTGCTTTTTTGGAGGTTAGCCAAAGTCTTCCCTAGTGGTTAGCATCTAGGGGCTTCCTGAAAGTAGGTGTCCTTTTTAGGGGGTGCCCATAATGAGGATTACAGTATTTTGCGGCGTTTACATGACAACGTAGATTATAACATTTTGGGGGGGTGTATGAGGGTCCCCCTATTTAGGGAAAATAACATCTAGCATCATGTGCAACTAGGCTTATCTGAGCCCTGTTGTGGCTGCGTTTGAGGCATGCCTGCGCACTCATGTGCTGGCTCTTCCCAAAACGAATGGGATGTTAACACCAGGGCGCACTTGTTGGCCAGTTTGCTTCGGTTTTTCATGTCACGAGCCCCCTCGTATCTGCAACTTCTTCAATGTATTTCAATCGCTTCCCCAAACCCTAAACCCGCAAAAAGTCTGAGGCACAAGAGGATGTGGGTCGGTTTTCCAGCGTACTATGAATTAACTGCAGGCGCCTCTTCATGGCAGGCCGGCCATGGTTCATTCAGGGTTTGTGGCCTCAAGATCGCTCCTTTAAGGTCACGCGAAAAAAAACTCTCAATGAAGGAGCATACTCTCACGTATACTGAGATTTGCGTTATGGCTCAAGATGCGTTATTTGATGAGGGGGGGTTGGAAGTCCTGGGCGCGTCGAAGAAGTCTGCAGCTCTTGTAACAGCTGCAGCCGCGATTGCCTCCTTTCCACCATCCCGCAATACTATTGCGTCTACCAGTGCTTGTGCACACTGAAGCCTCATCTATTCTGATCTTAATGGCAGGCTGGAGTCATCGATTTCAAAACAGGATACCTTCCTGGTGCACACTTGAAGCCTCATCTGTTGTGGTCTTAACGGCAAGCTCTACTCATAGATTTCAAAAAAATACCCTCCCCCAAGCTAACATGGAATCTCAAAAGAAGCCCCATGCTGACCACTGTGCTTTGAGCATACGGCAACCGTCTGACTGAAATTTCTCCCTATTATCTGAAGGCACATATCAGCCCTATCAAGTGCCTGCACGGAAGAGTGAGCATTTGAACCCTGCACCCGAAACGGAGTTCAGGGTCTACGTTGATTTTACGCAACCCCCAGCTTGACACCATCAGTTAAGACGGAGGCTAATAGAGGGTGGTCTAGGGTCTAAGGTTTATTTGAGCGTAATGTGAAGGCGGGGGGTTTTAGTTGGGGAGTGGTATAACATCCTATGACACTTTAAGCCCTAAACCTTTAACAGCTTCTTCACCCCAATGATGGCCACAATAGCCACAGTATCCCAAATTCACGCGGTTTGGGGTTGAGTCAAAATCAAAAACTCGAATACACTTGCTTATTCCTTTCAATCCCACCTTTCGTGGTGAAAGGGTCCAAAATTCTTCGCCCAAAGGTGTGAAGTTACGAACCCAGCTTTCGCGGCTAAGGGACTGAGGCTCAGGGCTAGGATGGCCCCTCATGGCAGGAGCTGAAAAACGCAAAAACTTGAAGTGCAGATTTTGGACCTAGAGCCAAGAGCTATGATAAACCCTAAACCCACAAACCCTGAAGATCCTAGGCCTTGAGCATCCTATACCCTGTACTCCCTGAATCGGTTAGAATTTCGGGCTTAAGGGTTTTAAGCCGAAACCTTATATAAACGCCCATACCACTCATTCACTAAAATCGTATAAACCTGGATGTCAAATCCGCAAAATGAAGTGTGGGAGGTTGCAGGCCTGATCCTGCACGTGGTAGTGGTAGACCGGCGTGGAGCTCTCCTGTTGATTGGTGGGATTTAGGGTTGAGAGCTTAAGGGCCTCACGCTTTTTAAGCATGAAAAACAGGGTGGAAACTCTTTACAAAAGGGTTAACGAAGTAATGTAGGATGCCCAAGTACTTACCCATACCACAGGAGATCTACTTCAGCCACCCTATACTAGAACCATACAAGAAAGCTAGAACCGCAGTGTTGTAAATCCTCTAGTGTTTGTATTACATATGTACTTAACAAAATTCGTGAACCTTTGAGATGCTACTTGCACTCCTTCTACATAGGCCGTGCGTGCAAAGTGTCATGCCACTCGGGAGAACTTTGACCCATGCAGGTTTTTTCCGGATCCACAGGCATCTTGGCTGAACAGCATGAGTCACCGACACTCCACAATCTTGCCCTGAAGCCAGCACCTTAACCTTACCTTTTGTAAACAAGGAATGAAGCACTGGATCCTTGTACGTAGTACATATTCCCTACAGAACTCCCATTTTGGCAAAACGTCCATCTTTTCTCTGCCCGCTTATTCTTGCTAACCACCGGCACGCAACTCTCAATCCTTTGCTCGCATGCTTGACATCCCCGGGCCATAAGCCCTAGCCTCACGTTCTGACCCTCTAACCTCAAAAAATGACGTCCAGCTAGTGTGGAACACCCGTCAGGCTGATACTAGATAGGTATATTCACCCGCAGTGAAAGGCGAAGCCATGTTTGGGATATGCATCATCCTAATGAAAGGGATGGGCAGTGCTGGGGCAGATGCTTGCCACTTGGGAGTCCACGGCCATTCTCACCTACTCATCAAAATACCTGAACCCCCAAAATGAGACGATGAACACGCGTCGAGAAAACCGTTCTCTAAAACCATGCCACTTAAAAAAAAAAAA